CATCACTGTGAACGAACAGAGTCGCTGGGAAGTATCCGTGCTCTGTGTCATGTGCGGGGAGCGGGAGGAGTACAGTTCTGCCCTGTGCCTGCTCCTGGCCCTTCCCAGCCATTTGCCAAGCCGGGGAGTGTTGGAATGAGCCATGTGCTGCGCTTGGAGGCCAAGAAGCATTTCCTAGAGGTGTAATCATAGATCCTGGCGTCATTTGATCCTGGGAAGGCACTCTGGGTCAAATCAGCTGTCCGGGGCCGACTGAGGAGCACGTGCGGCAGAGTGCCGGGCGGTGGCAGCAACCTGACTTGGAAGTGAGTGTGGAGCAGCGATTGAGAAACTCTTGTGTTCCTTTGGTGCCAGCAATATGGAAGCTGCTCCCTTGTTCCCTGCAACATCTCTGCTTAGCTGCTGGGGCTCTGCTGGCAGAGCCCAGGGGCTGCACTGCAGGGGCTGCGGGTGGGGCATCCGGTTTGCGTTTTGCTGGGAAGGAAGGGAGAGTGTTGCTTTGGGGGGAGACTTAACCTTCATCCCCCGAGGCCTTGGAACAGAGCAGTGGTGTTGTGACTGCCTTGGACCTGCCTTTCGCTGCCAGGACTTCCCTGGGAATGGTGACCCAGACAGCAGGGATGCAGTGGCTGCCTGCACGGGTCCAGGGTGCCCCCCTCCTGCCACAGAGGGAGAGGGTGTACAGCAGGCAGTGGTTTGAGCCAAGTGGCTTCGACGTTCTCTGACATCTCTCGGCTGACGTTTGTGCAACAGTGCGATGGCTGGGGATGCCCTGCGCAGCCCCCGCCGGTCAGGGCCTCTGCGGCAGAGCTGGCTGACGCTTTGCCAGCTGCCAGCAGCCCAGGGTTGAGAAGCGACTGGCACAAGCAGTTGTGTCCTGCTCCCTGGCTGTGCCTTGAGCGGCTCCTGCCCCATCCCTGGGTGGCTGCTGGGCCGTGGCTGGGCTCTTCATCCTCCCCTGTGTCCTGCGAGGTGCAGACTCGTGGAGTAAAAGTGACAGCGCTGAGATCGGCACCGATTGCGCTGCCCGTGTTTGGCCTCACGGACGTTGTTTTCACAGAGACGAAGCTTCTGGCTTCTGTTATCTGAACGACGCCGTCCTGGGGATCCTGCGGCTGCGCCAGAAGTTTGACCGTGTCCTTTATATCGATTTGGATTTGCATCACGGGGATGGTAAGGCCCAGCGCAGGCTGCAGGCAGCGCAACCACGCGGACCCGGGAGGAATGGGAGGAGTCAAAGCCTGTGGGGGCAGCAGGGCTTTGCCTGCTGCAAAAGCTGGGGCTTTGCCAGTGTTCAGCGCCCTCCGGTTCCCTTGATGGAGTGCCCTGTGCTGCTCCTCGGAGCTCTCTTGAGGGTCTGGGCAGCAGTCTTGTACCCAAAGCAGGAAACAGTATGTTCCCATTCCAGTAATCTCCCGTGCCAGTGGCTCTCCAGCGAGGACATGCCCTGGTCCCTGGCCCCCATCCCAGCACGAGCGGGGAGCAGGCCGCACTACGCGGCACTGAAGGGGGTGGTGCTCTGAGTGCGCAGCTGGAGCTGGCCCTGCTGAGCTGCTCTCCTTTGGGGACGTTACTTCAACACCGTTTAACATTTCCTGCTTTCCTAAATCTTATGGTGTGTTCCATTTTGCTCTGTTTTCCCTGCACATTTGGTTTCTATTAAGTTTCCCGTTACTTCTTTTTCCCTCCCCACCCTACTATTGCACTATGTCAACATGTTCATTTAAAAAGCATTTCCCGTAAGCAGAGGCATGCTGAGCCACAGCGGCGCTGACGGGAGCCAGCAGGCCTGGTAGCTCTGGCTCCAACCCGAGCCAAGCTCTGGCCGGGGCGGCCCCACTCAGCTCCCATGCAGGCCGAGCGGTGCAGGTGGGTGCTGCTCCCATGGGCGCCGAGCTGCGGTGCTGAGAGCCGTTCAGGGTCCTGCCAGTCGTTCCGGTTGTGGCCTTTGCTGCAGTTGGATTTGGGTCTCTGTTGACTGAGGGAGTTACTGCGCCACGTCTGGGTCTGCTTCGTTCACCCTGTTCCTGCTCTGTTCGCCTCGCTGTCCCGTGTCTATTGGGTGGCTCATTTCCCTGATTAGACTCTGTCATGTCTGGGATGATGTGTGAGCTGTTTTCCCTTCCCTTTCGGTAGGAGTTGAAGATGCCTTTAGCTTCACCTCGAAAGTCATGACTGTTTCTCTGCACAAGTTCTCGCCAGGATTTTTCCCAGGCAAGTTGAAGCTGTGAGGTTTGTGCGGGTTCAGTTCATGCGTTGCTGACGAGGCCCCCCCGAGCAGCAGAGCAGCCTCTCCTGTGGACCCAGGAGAGGGAAAGAAGGGGCCACGCTCTGGGCAGAGCCGCTGCTGGGTGGCCGCCTGTGGCCCTTGAAAGCTGCGTGACAGGCTTGGGCAGAGGGCAAGAACCAGCCCCGTTCACCCCCTCCCTTACCGGTGGTGGCAAGTGAACTTGTGCGTCGGCGTGCCGGTGGGGCGCTGGCTCTCTGCTCCCCCCGAGCCATCCTGCGCATTGCTGCTGCCGCTGCTCCCGTCCTTCGGGATTGACCGTGGGTGTTTGCTTCCCAGGCACCGGGGACGTGTCGGACGTTGGCCTGGGGAAGGGTCGCTATTACAGCGTGAACGTGCCCATTCAGGACGGTGTCCAGGATGAGAAGTACTACCACATCTGCCAAGCGTAAGCCCCCTTACGTGACACAGGCTGCTGGGATTTTGGAGAACAGGGGCTGCGCAGATCTTATTGACTGTTTTTAATTCCCCTTCTTAAAGCTTGTCCCTTCCCCATGTCCCATTTTTGATTACAGCCACCAGGGACCTTAAGAGGTCTCGGAGGTCTTGTCCAAATGACAGCTGGGCCCGGAGGTTCGGTCATATTTAATGCCTTGATCAGGTGACCTGAGGGGGATCAGTGACCTGAGGGGGACAGGCTGGATCCACGGGCCGAGTCCACTGCGTGAGGGGCAACAAGGCCAAGCGCTGGGTCCTGCCCGTGGGCCACAACAACCCCCAGCACCGCTCCAGGTGTGGGACAAGTGGCTGGAAAATGCCTGGCAGGAAAGGACCGGGGAGGGGTTGGTGACAGGCGGCGTGGGCCCGGGGGGCCCA